TTACTGAAGTAGAATTATTATGCCAAGTATTTGATATTTTGCTTGCTGGCACATTTTCACTTTGGCACTGTTACAAAAAAACTTCAGAAAGATTGTCATTCACTTTCTGAACGTAAAATGCAGTAAAATCATCAATGTTGTATCCCGATAGCTTTGAAAAAACCCGCCATACAAATTTCAATGAGGTTGAGTTGTGAGGATGCGAATACAATTCTTTTGAAACATTCCCGTTTCAATTTCTGCTCAAGTAAGCGGCGCTGTTTGTGCGCGACGGCAGAAGGTATGCGCGTGTCCAACGAGATACCCGTAGACCCTCTGCCGACGTGGGGTGTACGGGGGCTGTTGGAGGTTGGCGCAAGGTTTCCTGGGCTTAGGGACATAAATTTGTGCTGACGAAGCCCATCCCAACAACACACAGAATTCGTATCCTTTGACTTCATTCTTACTCTTTGTAGCCCCTGAGGAGATGAGACACTCGAGCCTAATCCTCGTCGCCGTGCGAGCGTTCCATGGATCTGCCCAGTCCGACATCGCACCATCCACTGGTCGGTTTGGTTCTAGCTTACGACCCCCCCTTTTTTTCAGATGCTGGTACGACCCCCCCCATGCTCGTACGATGGCTGACTGTGGTTGTGGTTTATACTCGGCGAAAAAGTTGTCGAAGCACGGGGGCGGGGCGTACGTAGTACAGCATGCAAGCATGCGACGCTACAATCTACAGGGCGTACATAGACACAGAAAGATTCATAATAACTCATTAAGTCAAAACGTCCGCCAAAGCTCCGAGAAAATCACTATAAAAATAAATTTTTAGCCCAAATACGTACCCCCCCCATAGGAATCCCCAACCCAATGCTGTGCCGCTTGTACGCCCACCCATTTATTTTGGGGGGGGGGTGAGCGAACTTCCCCTCCGCCCTATGCTCCCTTCTTCAATCGAATCGAGCCGATATATAGTACGCCATGAAACAGGAAGAATCACGAAAAGTCAACACACTCCTTGAAATCAAACAAAAATACCGACGCTCCTCCTTCTCCCAGCATGACCAACACAACCCTCCTTTATGGCGTCCGTGAAGCGAGAAAAATCAACTATCAAATATAAGATTTTCACAGCCCAAATACGACCCCCTCGCCCCTGTTGGGGATTCCCCAACAACGATGTGCCCTGCTGACGGATCGAAGCTATAACCCGTTTTCCGGCGAAAATCTGCTGTGTTGGAATGTTTCGACTTTCCAATTTTTTACTTTTAACGTGATAATGCTCATAAAAGCAAATTCAATACATTTTGGATCTTTCTCATGAAATTGAAATGGGTAAAAGAAACTGCAACGTTCAAAATTGGACATTTGTTTTCGCTGCTCAAGCACCACGCAGATATGGAAGAAATGTCATTTGGTCTGAAATGGTACCATCTTTCTTTTCAACACTTTGAGCGCCGCGGCGTTTTTGTAGCAACTCCCGTTTACACTTCCTGCGTCTAAGCGCGCATGAATTGTATGCAATACATAACTATTTTGTGCCGCATGCCCTTTGCATTCTGCTTTCATTTGCGCTTGATTCTCGCGTAACCCTATTCAATAGAAGGTAAAATTCGGTTCAGGTTACATCCTTGGGTCTAGAGATTGAAATAAAGGATGTTGATGTTAGTTTTGACGATTTATTTCTGTACAGTGATGAAGAGGAATTAGATGACTTGGACAACTCAGAAGGCGACTATGATGAAAATTAGGAAGAACAACTGTTCAACTGTTAAACGGAGTTTTTCATGGAGGATCACTCGGCCATCGTTTTCTGGTAGATCAGGTGTAAAGAGCAAATCGCTCCATGATGCCGTCGCGCCGTTGGATTTCTATTTTCCGTTTGGGAATGACGAACTCTCCTGATCTCAATAGAAACAAATCGATATGAGGGACAAAACAGCCCAGCTCTTACCAACGAAGCTCGCAGAGCTAAAGAAGGATTCATTATGAATTATCACATGAAGTGCTACCCTTGTATGACTGGTATATTTAAAGCAAATGAATCAGCTCTAATGAACACCCTTACTTCAAGCCATGAAGAATGTAGCTTGTATCTTTTATCCCGCAAACGGCAGTGAACGTCGCAGAAGTGCTCGGAAAGAAACAATGCGCTCCACTTGCTAGTATGCGTGCATTTCAGGTAGAGTCAAGATTTGACATGTCTGACGTTTCTTCACCTGTCAGTACCAGTATAAGACGGTCGTTTGGAGCGATCACATTGCCTTTTACGTGTTTTGGCAAGTAATGGTGAGGCCAACCGAGCTGGATAACTCGTCCGAATCGGTGATCTATAAGGTTTTGCGACTGATAGTCTAGATAAGGCTTGAAGGTTGGCTAGGGTGCTAATGGTTCTCAGCCAGCTTCCTTATGGCTACTTATTATTAGGCAAATGCAACTTGGAATTTTGGACGAGTTCTCCTTATCGGAAGATGGTTGGCCTAACATGTTTTGGCACGTCGGTGACAGAATGATCGCGCCAAACGACATACCCGTTCACCCACACAAGAGTCGTTCAAATAAATACGTGCACAGTTCCGGATAACAAGGATTTTGCCAGGTTTGGGGTGCTAACGTGTCGGAGGGGATCACGCTGTGACACTAAAGGGACTCTGGTTGTCTGCGCTCTTCTAGTCTGAGCCGGACAAAATGAAGAGATCACTGCCTCGGTGCGGGAGGAAAGCAAGCAAGTAGAGTCGCGGTGATCATTCTGGTCTCAAGGCTCCTTCCCCCCCCTCCTCACCCCCCACTCCCTTCCCAACCATTTTGGCGCCATACCTAGCGATCCAGATTGTTGCAGTCTCTCTTTTCTCTATTGTCTTAAGAAACTAAATTCACATGAAATCAAAGACTTACAACCATCAAGTAGAATAGGCATACATCAAATTTGACTAATAACATAAGCAGCAACACAAGAAGTAGAAAAATTACGGTGAATCAGAGGTATACGGCGATGAATGGTTGGGGGGGCAAAACTTTCTGTTGCAGCCTTCACCTCTTGTCTCCACGAACACGCAAGGCATTGAGAAATGGGGGCGGTACCAGACAGTCCCGCCCATACGCTCTGTGTAGCTTCTGCCCTCCAGATGCGATTATTATTATATAATGAAACGAAGCTCAAACATAGTGCCCTGAGAATATAACAGGAAAACTAAGTAAAGTCAGTTGGAGAATTAGCAAATGGCGCCATGACCGCTGGTAGGTACTGGAGATCGAGTCTCAGACGGGACAACTAATAAGGAATTCAGAGCTTTATCCTGTTGGTTAGATTTGGTGTCAGGTAGTTTAACCCGCAGGCCCGGAGGGCTGATTGCTGTGAACTGGGTTAGATCCGGATTCGATCTATTAGTCACTCGTGGCGTCACATGTCGCCAGCCATCGTTGAGGCACATTCCAAGCTGGTGATATGGGCGGAGCCGGTCCTGCGAATGCACTTTTCTCATCGGCGGAAACGTGACCTTACTAATTGCAAGAGGTAAACCCGCCGAAGGCGGAATGATTGGCCAGGCGAGCTCACGCGGTCGGCGTGGAATGTGCCACTAACCCGAATATTGATTATGCGTGCGCAAAATCAGTTCCCATTCTATGGCACCTAGGATTGGGTGAAGTGGAAGAACATCCTATTCATGTGGGAGTGTTTACCGGGTGATGACTGGGCAAATGATCAGTGATCAGGGCATTTATACATTATAATCATGGTCCCTATATATACACACAGAACTTAATTAGGCAGCGTTCAAACTTCGCGATGACGCGCGTTGACGTGCTGTAACGCGTTGTAAGGCACCGGTCGATTCCCGTCGACGAACGCAGCCGCAGACGGGAGGTGTCATCTAGTCACGCACAGGGCACACCATCGTTTGGGATTCTCCAACATCGACTCGTCTTTGGTCTGAGGAAATTTTTCGGTAGTTGATTTTTCTTGTCTCGCGGACGCTAGAAGGGAGGGGGAGGTCGTATTTGCTCGTTGTTGGGAGAGAGGAAGGTCGTACTCGCCTTCTGAGAGAAATGTGCAGCGTTGAAAAACTTTTCTCGGTTGTTTACTTATCGCGGATTTTTCTCTTTCACATGTGCTATATATCCCACACCCTGGTTCGGCAGCTCGATCGTATCAGAAAAGGGAAGTAAGGAGGGGGTCGCATTAGGACAGCCCTCAGAAGGGGGGGGGGGAGTCGCACGGACTCGATAAAGATCCCCAACCAGTGATGTGCCTTGTCACGCAATTCGTATCAATCGCCCGCGCTTGCGTCTATAGTCTTGAGGTGCTGTTGCAGTTGCAGCGCGTCGACGCGAAGTCTGAACGCCGCCTTGATTGCTGCCTTGCGCAGAAGACTGCTGATTTCATTGAATCCCATCCGAATCGACGACATTGGTATAAATTTTAGCCTTTTTCTTTGACAGCCGCATCAATACGTGTTCTCGAAAGCATGCTTCCATCTGGTAGGACATTCGCACCGTTGAGAGCCGATTGCTGAAAATATTACATTTTGCTCTTTGAGTTACAAGGCACATTTTGAAGACACAGTGACGTTTGGAAAGCCTTCTTTGTAAAAGAAAGAACATCTTGCAGAGGAATGCTATCGGACTCTGATAGCTGAATTGCAGGCCGCTGAAGGTCTTCTACAAAGGTGGAACGCCCGCCCTCAAACGGCATCCCCTGTCTCGTCATTTCAGCTCACAATCGTTGTGCAACGGTGCGGCCGCGGCCCACTTTTCTGTGTACCGTCTTATTATTTCGTCACTTGATTCTCTTGCTCAGTGCTGTGCAGAGCATCGAACCGGAAAGGGTCTTATTTGAGCGCTTACCTCTTGACCGCGATCTCAACTGCTTTTGTCATAGTATATGAACCTCAACATTCACTGGCAAAGACGAACTGTGTCTTCAAAGCAAGTGCCTCAAGGCGAAACGCTAGCAAAACTTACCTCTGCGTCCCTTTCTGCCTTGACGGCCACGTGGTCCCGTTATTCCTGGTGTACCTTCAAGGTCCCTCAGGACCTGGTTCGCCAACGGGGCCGACATAACCGATCTCACCGTCGATACCTGGCTCACCGATAGATCCAGGTTCACCTTGTGGGCCTTGAAAATCGTTATTGATAAGCGCTCTTCAAAATGAGATTGAACATTGATACCTGGTGGTCCCTTTTCACCGGGAACATTAAAGTTGAAGGCGGAGAAACCGGGTATTCCTGGTAGACCCGGAGATCCCTTGAGGCCTGAAAGCTACCGATTATGTGTACATGCACCTTGAATTTTATTGAACAGAAAGAGAATACCTTGAGAGCCTGGATATCCCGGTGGACCTGGCGGTCCGATTCGAATAGCATGATACCCTGGTTCTCCAGGATCTCCTAAAAATCGAGTAATAATCTCAGCATCATCTAGGAGCATCATCGAAGGACGTTTCTCATACCTTGCACACCTATAGGCCCACGTGGTCCCGGTTCTCCAGGAAGACCTGGTGGACCTGCAGGACATAGGAAGCATCCGTTTTCGTCGTGGGTATCGCCATTTAATCCGTCGTTTCCTGGAGGGCCATCGGGAGCATCTTCTGAAAAGAAACCCAGGTCTAAGGATGGGACTAGAAAGTCAATAATTGTGTAAGCACCACGAAAAACCCAAAGTTCACCTCCATCTTGACCATCTTCTCCCGGCAGACCGGGCTTACCAGCAGGGCAATCTGGATTCGGCCGAACAACACATTGTTTAAGGACCTTTGACATATCTGCAATAAATGGCGATTGGCACCGCTACCACGTGCATACATGTTTGTTCCAGCAGAGCCTTCCGTTCCGCGGGTTGATGTGGTGGTGGTGGCGCACTATGCTACACTTATTTTGTAGGTTGTGTAGTAGCAAGTGGGACGCTGAACACGCACGCGGTTGGGTGACCAAACCCCAAATGGATTCCCTCCCAGGCCGACCAAACCTTCTACTCTAAGGGGACGATTAACTGCGTGACCAGACTCTTCTGGTAGGATAAAACAACTGTCTTGTAAATCCGCTGACCCCGCAATTCATTGTATAGACCCCACCTAGTCGATAAACCGCTACGATTCTGAATGGGGAAGTAGAAAGCGTGCCGCATCCTAAAAAGGATCGAAGGGGGACCGGCGAAGGCTTCATCCTCACAGCTGTCTTATCGTAACAGGAAAGGCACGACTGGAGTGTCCAAGTCATGAGCCAAAAGACTCAACTCTGGGTTGTAATTTTCTACTTCATTCTATCGGGTTAGGGGTTACCATTCACCGCCATGAAGTCGCCTGTGGACTCATGAAACAGCAGATAATGAAGGGGTGTAAGCGACGGTAGGTGAGATGAGGTTCTATTCCAGATCAGGACGCCTCTGCCCACAGTTCAGTTTTGTCGGTCACACTGTCACGGTCCTATCCGCAGTCTGTTCTTGTTAGCCATTGGAAATAGTCCTGTTCTGAAATCAAGCCATAGGCATATCTGAAACGGCGTGCAGTCGTTACGTTAGCGATACCCAGAAATAAGATCGCATTTGGCTGCAAACGATAAAATTTTTGCTCGTTGATTTTTTGTGTGTTTGTTCCCGCTTCAGCCGAGCGCTACATCTAACATGATGATCGTCGAAACTTCAATGGGGTGGTGTCAGAAGGGGAAATAGGTGATGCCCGCCTCGGGCTGCTTTATTTCTTACCGATTGCCGTTCATTCAGGAAAGAAGCAACCAGGTGGTAGGAACGCCGCGGCGGCTATCCCCATTGCCTTCATGACGCCCTGAGTGACTGCAACTTCATGGACTGTGATCCCCAATTGCTCTACAAAACTACTATTCCTGAGTTTGACACCATGTTTAAGTCTCGGCTTCTTGATGGCGAGTTTTCAGGAAAGTTTAGTAAGACGACTGGTCAATTGCTCAAGAGGGAGGGGTATGCCAAACTTATGAGAAAAACAGGGAAGGATCGTCCATTTAGCACACTTCAACTATCATTAGGTATTTTATGCTCGCTCAGTAAAACTGGTTGAGTGCGTTTGGAAAGTGACACCACGTACCACGGAACCCAAAGGTCCGTGGATTGCAGGTCCTCGGATAGCCTCCAGACTTAGACAAACTAAGCTTCTTCCACTCTCTTCGCAGCCAGCTTAGATGAACCCGGACTAGTTTGAGAGCATAGGACGCGGAATTGGACATGGACTAGACATTCAATTTTACATCGGCTCGGCCGCCTCAATTCAGTGCGTAGGTCATAGTTTTTTCTCCAATCCTACCGTAATTTCGAATGAAAGTAGAATTTCGCAACTGAAGAAACGCCTACGGCCTTTTTCGTTATATGGCTAACCAACCAGTGACTTTAGTGGGTCTACGGCGGCTTGTCATTACATAGTCTCGCTACATGACTCCTCATTTTCTACTGAAATCGAAAACTGACAATAGGACATTTACTGCTCGACTTACCCTCGATTTGGTGACCTGTAGGTGTTTGTCTAAACATTTTGGTAACAATTCCATGCACAAGTTTTCTGATAGCCATTTTGTCCTGGTGAAAGTGTTGTGCTGTAAGAGAATGGGTTAAATGCTTCTGCAGATCGATTTGTTTGGAGTACAATAGGTTATGCAACAAGTCACTTACTTCCCCTACTGATTATCACACGTTTGCCCCATCGTTTATGGAACTGCGAAGATTCGGAAGCTGTTTCCCAACTCGAAATGGTCGGCTTGTGCCATGATGATTCGAATAATTTTCGGCGACTATTTTTGAGCTTACGAAGGCCTGAAGAATGATAGTAATTGAACATGAGTTACAATCCGAGATCGTGATAAAAAGGCAGGTAAAAGCCTGAAGGATGAACCTTCCACGCGGTGCTGCTTTACGCTGGCTCAAGGACGGATTTCCCTTCAAGGCAGTGGGCACGAGCGCCACCGGCGGAAGGACTGCCGGGAGACTTTTAGTCTCACCTCCCTCAGCACTTTCACCAATGAAAACGTTGTCGACAACCGCCCGACCCAAACAGTCGTACCCACTGCCTCTATGGACACACTTTTATCAATTCGAGCAATGCCAACCTAGACGAACGTCTCCAACCTTCCCTTAGATTTTGGGGATGGGGGGGGTTTCTGTAGCTACAAAAGGGCATTTACGGTACCGCTACCCTATATGAATCCAGTCAAAGCAACTGTAATCGCGCTGGCCACAACTGCGCTGTGAAGGACAAAAGAATTGACTTCAGGCGGGACTCAAAACTGCATTTCACGCTTAGCTACGTTTCTACGTAGCCTTTGGGGGGACAGTTTGGATCGCACATCAATAGCGTAGTAGTGAGAGCACTGGATCACAAGAGTGAGGGTCAGATTCGAGACCTGTCTTATGCTAAATCTTCTGCCCACATGTTACTATTTTTGTTCCCTTCCCACTGGTTTCGCAAGGCGCTGCACAAAGGAGAAAGGGAAGAGATAGGATAGAATTGAGGACGCCCGCTACCCGCATA